TCATACGTGTGGGCAGCCTGTGCATGCAGCAGAATTTATGCGTACCATACGATCGCATGCAATGCAAACAGCGTGTTCACTGTGGAATTTTTTTTTTTTTTAAACAAGCTGCAATAAAGCGCTGTCGAATATCACTACATATTGAGCTCGACAAAATTGGAAGGTAAGGCGCAGATTTTCTACTAAAAAACATTACCAAAACATATGATTATTTACTAATAAGAGGTTATGTCTATGCTCTATTTGCTATAGTTAACGTAATTTTCAAAAATATTTATTAAATTAACGGACTTCCCATTTTTTCTTCATTAACTCTGAAACTTTTATTGAGTTATATAATGATTTGGATAAATTTATTCATGAAAAATGTATATTAATCTTTGGTTAATTGAAAAAAATTTTGTTAATATACATTGTACAATCTCTCCTCAAAACAGCTTGGTAGAATCCTAAAAAAAATTGATCTGGAAAGAAAAAAATATTCATGAAAGCCCTCTTACTGAAATCGTTCAAGAAATTGTGATAGAGACAGAAGGAAGTGGTTCTAATTGAGGATACCGTGCCATGTGTTAACGCTTGAAGAAGTTGTACGGAATTTATTTTAAAGAGAAAACAGTGTTGAAAATTTTTAAAGTAGTGGATCCTGATGGGGTCGAAAAACGGTGCAGATACCGCCTTAAAAGAAGTCAGTACCATGTCTCTGGACCAAGTTATTTGAGATATGCTGATGGAATGGTCAAATTTAAATGATATGGCTTTTCGGCGTTCAGAATCATTGATGGGTTTTCTAAGAAAGTGATGTTACTGAAGGTGTGCTCCACACATAAGAAATCAAAAATTATTGGCTACTTTTATTTAAGCTTGATTCAGAAATTGACCAAGGGACAAAGGTGATAATAATGGAAAACACCCACATTGCCCTGCGGTTCAATCATGATGATAAACACTTCGTGACATCGAGTTTCATGAAGGAAAAAGTACCCACAACTAGCTTATTGAGGCATACCGGCGATTATTTCGACACCTTACATGTGATTTTTACATCACTTTGTTTAGAGAAATGAAGGTAAGAGAAGTTTTAAATGTCGATGAACCGTTACACATTTAATGTCTAAGGTATTTTTTTGGTTTATGACACCAGAGAGATATTCTACTAACAAAGAAAGAATGGAGTGAGCACACCATCCATAAACAAAATGCTCTGGGTTCTAGAAATGGCAAACCGAACCAGTTGTTTCGTAACCCAGACAGGTATATCGGTGTGGATCATCAAAAACCAGTTAAAACGGATCACATTTAGTTTCTTAAGGAAGAGTATACAGTACCACCCAGATTGTACCTATTTGAATTTAATGATTTATTAGGTATTATTTTAAATAAAATTCCTAATGTTCGTACTGCAGAGGAGGCTTTTAACTTATTTATCGTGTTAACAAGTTACTTAAAAGACAATTAATGTTATTCATCAGCATCACTTGTATAAGTGATGAACATCGCTTTAATTGTTGACATGAATTATATTTTTCATCCTGGTCTTTTATAAGTTACTAAAATAAGGTTAGTAATTGTAAGGTTGCTATAATTATACACATAAATAAATAAATAAATGTTTAAAAACGTTTCTATATATTCTTTCAAACAATTTATATTGCACTGTAAATAGATTCTGTACTTTCTTTCTTTTCATATTAATATATAATTTTAAGTATAGACACAGCGTTTATAATCAAACAGTTTTACAAACAATTGACACATTTCGTAAAGATATAAATTTAAAGAATTATTAAACAAAATTATCACTCACATCCACTAGTATTTTTGATTTTTTTACTCATTGCTGCTGCAACTCCAGCATAGAATGGCAGCTTTCTTAACTATTTTGGAAATTATTTAAGATGTTCTTTTCTATGTAATACATACTTGTACACTAATCTTTTAACCATATACTCAGTCTTGTTAAACAATCATACTAGCATTTTAGTTTTATAACATAGAAAACTTGGATCACATTTACCTGCGCCAAACGGTGTAATTTTTTAAGTACAGTAAATAATTAGAGTAAGTATCTTTTAACAAGATTAATTTTCATGAATATGAAAGTGTTTAAACAATTGTTGCAATTCTAACATTGAGGGGTGCATCGCTGGATCGTACTCAAATCATTGTTGTATCTTAATTTTGAGTGATTCCGAAACAATATCCATCTTGGGAATTTTTTTCTCATAATTATTTCTAACACAGGAGTAAATATGAACACCTCCGGAGACATATACAAAAATATGCCCCACATGACTCTACAACTGGTAACTAGACTGTCCTCCAGTAATTCGAATCTTGCAATCCCTAAATCATAATGTATTACAACATGTTGGCATAAGTGGAGGTAAGCTAAGCCAATGCTAATCTGAAGAGCTTTATTAATTATCTGATCAAAAGTCAAATGGTACTGTTGAGAAACTTCAGAGTGAAACAGTATGTCACACAAAGTTCGTGATGAAAAAAATTCAGTAATTAGGTAATATTGTGTTGCTCATCACTACACCCATCAGCATAATAATACTACAATGACGAACATTGTTTAAAAGCTAAATTTCTATCATTATTTCTCTATCGTTACATCCTTTATTTATCACTTTAACTGCAACGTCTGTCCCTGAAAAATGTCCTTTACATACGCAGCCTTGAGCTCCTTTGCCCTAAATGACATCGGTAAGCACGACCTTATCTACGTTGAAAAATTCTACAGACAATTTCAGCTTATCAATTTTACTTTTCTTTGGTTCACTAGATTTTCGAAAGAAATCAATCTTTTCGCGTAATCCATTTTCGACAGCTTCATCACGTTCTTGTTCACTCCCCTAGTATTTTTGAGACAAAATTTTACAATCAGGTAAGTTAGAAGTGGATATTCCTGTGTTTGTAATACTTGTGTGTTCTGTAGAGTTATCAATTTTGATACCTTTAGATTCTTGACCTTGTGTGAGATTATTGGTTGGTTACACATGGGAATAATTTTCTTCATTTTTATTCGTTGTGTTGGCATAATTATAGGTAACTTTTTTTTACTGTCTATTTGCACTTCTTGAATTGCCGTAGAATTTTTAATATCCTGATAGTTATTAAAAATTATTTTCAATTTGGTAGTTTCCATTTCTTCAACATGAATTTTTGTCATCATGATGAATATTGATAAGTGATGGCTACTAGTATTGCAAAGATTTTTACAGAGAACAAATGTCCAAAAGGAACAGCTTTTTCCGTCTTGATTCACAAATATAGGTATAATTATAAGCACTCCTTTTTTTGTAACCAAGACGAACGTAAAAAGAGTTGAAATAATCTTCATTTTAGTTATTGATATGTGTGTGAAGTATCATTAGTTTTAGAATTTCAAGACTGTACTTAGGATTTGCATTTAATTCCAACTTCAGTTTTGGTAATATTTTACTTCCCAGATCTTCATATGAAGATTTTATGCCAGATCTGTGTCTCCAGTAGATGTTAACTACTCGATTAACAAAAGATTTCTTTTCAAAATTAATCTTCGTTCACTTGTTTTTTATTGGCAATTTTTTGATCACTCAGCTGCAAATACAAAATTTTTTTGTATACATAGTATTTTTAATTTTAATGCATGTAATTTTATGAGTACATATTGTACTTCAATGTTTAATGTCTCTATTTTTGTTACTTTTTTCCAGTTTCTTTACAATTAAACTTTTCGTTGACTTTAGCCTTCACTATTTTAAAAAGCTTAGGTTTTTTTAGTGGACCACCACCAGTCTTGTACTCGTTATCATCTCCATTTTTTTCTAAATAAACATAGTTTTCATCAGTCAACAAAATGCATTGTTGCTCATTCTCCCTGTATAACAGATTTCCAGTACATCCACATTTGTCTAGGAAAGTAGATTTTCTTATTTTTTCGCTCTCTAAGAACACAAAATAATTTTTATCTTGAAATCTACTGGTTATTTTTTTTGCCGTATTCAATTTGAGATATTCCTTGTTGCAGCTAAAAAAGTAAAAAAGTAAAATAAAAATAACCTCAAATTTTTAACACTTATTCATTTATCAAAGTTAAGCCCATGACCCACGCCTAACTTTTCAATTTTATCGAGCTCAAGGTCTAGTGTAACTTGAGAGCGCTTCACTGCACTTTGTTTAGCTTAGACGAGTAAAAAAAATTAATTAAAAAAAATTACCGCATTGATAACCACAGTGAGCACGCTGTTTGCATTGCACGCGATCGCATGGTACGCATCAATTCTGCTGCGTACACAGGCTGTGCACACGCATAGTAGATTGGCGCTTTCGTATGGACGCTATCTCCTACAAGCTCGCGCTTAGGGATTGTGGCTCACCAATATCGGCAACCTTTGGCTGTTTTGGCCCCCGTGGCCTTGAGCTTATACGCTGGTTCTAGTTCCGGCAGGTAGAAGTGTTCGAGTGTTGGTGGCTCACGGAACGCGCTCCTCCATTTGAGAAGGTGCACTGACTCGGTGGCTTTTCTCAGCAGCTATGCCAACCTGCACACCTCGCCCTGTCTGATTCGATCCTGTAGCTCTGGTCGCATGTCCCTGTGAAACAGATCCAGTTGTCATTTGACCAGCCAATGACGTTGTATTCGTCACACGATATTCTTAAAATGTGTTAAGAAGTTTCGTACGGGCTTGCCAGCGTATTGGGTGCGCATTTGCGCGTCCAAGGTTAAATGACGCTGCACTTCTTCGCTTGAGCCATATTGGATATACCATTCTTGGCCTGCAGCTATGAAAACAGCCCAGCTAGTCCACTGGTCGCATTTGTTGCGAAACTATGTCACCGCAATGCCACTCCGGCAGAGCTTGGAAAAGCTCTATTTCGGACAATCCGGAAGCTGTGCGGCACTCCGTAATGCGCGTGAAAAACGTGTAAGCTTGACTCCGACTGTCTGTCGGCCGACTGGAGACTCCCCCCCGACCAGGCTGAACGTGTGGGGTCAACTGATGCAGCCAAACATGGGGGTAGGTGGGAGTACGTTGGACTTGTTGTCAAGCTTACCGCATGAGTGTGTAGCCACGTTGTTAACGCTTGCGTCTGCGTTGTACGAACAGGTGACGTAATTAAGCACCTACTCATCTTTGGGCAGCTTACTGATGCCGTGTACGTGCTTGTTATCGCGCATACTGAGCATATCGCTTACACCCAGCTGACTGGTGGATACGGCCATAAGGATCCGATTGACGTGTGTGGCGGTGGCGCTAAAAATTTGTGAGGGCGTTGACGGTATGTCTTCGTTGCTTTGGTCGTTCTCGGGTATAATCCCTTTTTTCCTTTAAAAGTCGAGCTTAATCGTATGAAGCTCACGATATCCTCGTTGGCTTTTAATGATTTGTCGCGCAGTAATCTATTCTCTTCTTTAAGAATCTGCGCTGATAGAGCCCTTTTGTTATCTGCCGAGCCTATTGTTGACGAGGATGTATTTAATATCTCGTCCTGGCACTCAGTGGCTACTCGAAGGTTAGAAGCTCTGGTCAGTATGCTTAACCTTGCTGCTATTGTTGAAGTTTTAAGGAGCTCGTTCACTTCTGTACTATCGTGCACCATTTATGGTGGGTGCATGGATTCGTCATCGATCTCCTCATTGCTCGCTTTTGCGTATTCTGCGTATTGTACGCAGGCTTGAGTGATCATGAGGTGACGCACTTTTATTCGTCGCACTAGAGCTGTGTTTACGTTCTCCGCTGACTCGAAGTCCTCGGGGACATATTTCCTCGTGGGCCACTGGTAGAGGCGATGAACCCTAACTGTTTTATTACCAGTCGTTAACAGCTTAAGGTTTATTAGGAAATCCCGACCAAGATCTTTCTCCATTAGCGACCTACAAAATTTGCTCATCGTATTCTCTTGGTCGTTTGTTGATGCAGCCTTTTGTCCTTTAGATAATAAATTTCGTGCTATAAAAAAAATAATTGGCAGTCAGTATACAGTGCCGCATTTCAAAGATTAGCTTGGGATGAGAAAGCTGACGGGTAGGAGAAATATGCGACAAGGCGTTAGCTGGACTCATTTTTCCGCCTATTTTTATGCCTTAGGGCTTAAATATTTAATTTAATGTAGCTTCAATTTGAACCTATTAGCTGTAGAGATATCAATTCCCTCAACTCTCTTTGTGTGTGCGTACATGTGTGATACAATGTCAAATACAGTTATGTGTAGTATTCATTTCACCTGTACACTACTGCCTACTATACGTGCTTGTCACACTACCAGCCGTGAGAAACCAATATTCGCATTTATATATATATATATATATATATATATGTATACCGGTGTGTACATGCTGTTTATCCTACTTACGCTTTAGATCAGCGTTCGCTGCCTGTGAAATCGGAATTTCACAGGCTAAGCTTGTTGGCTACCGAATATAATATTTCGTCTCCAAATACTATTTTCTCTCTAGCTCGTACTCTTACACAATATTTTCGAGTGTTCGAAGTCAGCAACGGCTCGAAGTCGTAATGTAAAAAAAGCCGCTGCTTTGTTTACACACGCGACCTACTCAAGTCTACTCGTGTATATCGCCTATGTTAACTCCCGATCTGTTGTGTTTTGCTGTAGCTGCTGCCACAGCTCGTAGTTTACTGTGACTATACGTATAGTAATAGTAATTATCGTCTACCTCGTAGACGACGTCGCGCGATACCTAGCCGTGGATTTTGTGTCGGGTGCCAATGTTATGGGGTGTGCGCATGATGCTGACAAACAAGGCGAAATCTCTCCACTTTGACCGGGCCTGTGTTGCCAGGATACCCTCGGTGACACTTTTAATAAACTGATACGCGGCTCTTGTCCGTCGAGACACCGCTGGAGCCAAGTATCGTGGTGATTGGTATCATCATCACTTCTTGTGACTATCTTTAACACGACACAGGATGGGAGTAAGACACACTTAAGAAGGAACCCTCACGAGTATTATTTTACCATAAAATAATATACTAAATAAAAGGAAGCATAAAATCATATAAAAGTTACTCACTAGTGTAAGTGTGTGTGTGTGAGTGTGTGAAAGAAAGGAAGAGAAAGAGATAGAGAGAGTAAAAGCACGTCGAACATGGATGCTTGACGTAATCGCGACGCAAAATTGCGACACGGGCAGACGCATGTGGGTTAAACAAGGGACTCTGCCCCTTACAACAAATGTCCTGCAAGCAAATACTTACGCTGCTATGAGGAAACGCTGTTGTTGGGACGCTCTTTTTTCTCCCGGTGGTTGCGGCGTTGTTCAGGAACACAATCTTGAGTCAGCAGGCATCCCCTGGTGTGTGTGTGTGTGTGAGAGAGAGAGAGAGGAAGAAGAGAGAAAGAGAGAGAGAGAGAGAGTAAAAGCATGTCGAACGTGGATGCATGGCGTGATCGCGACGCAAAATCGCAACACTGGCAGACGCACGTGGGTTGAACGAGGGCCACTGCCCGCTACAAAAAACCTACTTGTAAGCAGGTACTTACGTTGCACCAGACACTGCACCTGGACGTCGCGTCAAGGTAATTATCGGGAACAGCAAAAGAGATCAACGCATTTGCAACAACAATAAAATGACGAACAAAAACGCAGAGAAAAACGCTTCACGTGCGCTCGCAGGCCCAAGCTTATCTGGAGCTCTCTCAGCCTTCCCGTATTTACCCCTCCTCCCCTTGCTCTTATTCTACGTATTCTCTTCAACTAAATTTCCTCTTTTCCCTAACCACCTATAGTAGCAGAGGTAGCTTTGCGGTGTCTCATCGTGACATCACATAGTAATCGTTACGGATGCGACTTAGATAACACAAAACATTTGAGCTAATTTTGAGTGATTTGTAGAGAAATATGAATTTTAAATGTACTTTGAAAGAGTTATAACCAATTAGATACAATAACTGTGAATCCATAAAAAGGAAATAAGATCAATTGAGATGTTAAGCCACATATATTGTTCTCAAAAAACACTATAAGCAAGACTGATTTATAGACCTACTAGGAAGTCTAATTACACAACAATAGAGACATAATAAAAGATACTTGGAGAAATAAAGGTGAAATCGACATTTTAGGACAGCAGCATTACGACCAAGAAAGAGAAAAACAGTAAAAAAATAAATAACAATAATAAATAGGATACAAGTATTGTAGATGATAATAACAAATTACAAAAACTTTGCAAATTTTTGCAAAACTTTACTTTGAAAATTTCCTGGTTATGCAACGGAAGAAGAAATAATTATTGTAAACTTATTCGTAATTAAATTTTTAGATTTGCCAGATTTTATTATACCTTCTTCTCGTATGAACAAATGACCTTTATTGCCTATTACCACCAGGTCGTGTTTGCTATGCTTGTGCAACATAACGATACAATTATTAAGTTTAGTAAAACATAAACTTTCAAGTGTATGTATGCAAAAAAATAGTGTACACGCCTTGTCCATGCAGTAACCTATCACTGCGTTAATGTCTTTTCCGACCTCAGCTTCTGCTTAATCAGCACTGAACCCCACAATCAACGACTAGTGTATTTGCTGGTGTAGGCAGGTAATATACTATAAATGATACAGCCCAATTAACTTATATGTTTCTTCCAAATTATTGCTGAACGACTGCCCAACTGAAGATGACTTGGTGTGCAAACCAGCAGTTACGTGTACATTCAGTGTATTACTTAATGGTTTGACTGGAATAACACATTTATTTTTCTGTGTAAGAAACTCTGGAATAGTTTACAAATCATACAGTATATTTAAGTATTAATGATAAGGTTAGAGTCATGTTTCAGAATATTCACTGGTTTCAATAGTAATGAGCACGTTCGGTGTGATGGAGTGGTAATCAGTTGTGACGAGCTAAGGATTTTATAAAACTCGTGTATTTTCTACTTAATGACGAGTTGAAACTTTTTTTAAATTCTATAAATGTATTATTGTCATCAGAAATTAAATTATTTTAATTTGGTGTTGCATTACTTATTGCTGTCCGTGACGTATTAAAGGCATGATAATATTCTGTATCCACTTGTACATTAATCTTTGGAGTATTTTTTCTTTAACAACCGTTACTTTGGCTCAAACTTTAACTTTCTATAAAAGGTCGTCTATTTTTTTCCTACTATCAATGTGGAAACTTAAAAAAAACTGTTTTTTATTTGAAGTTTACGTTTGAAGGGTTACAAAAACATTTTGTATCATTTGGACCAATATTTTTATTTTAAATTGTAGGCTCATAGTTATTTATGATTTTAAATAAGTTTATCATTCATCTAATTTCTTGACAATAAATGAAAATTAATAATACGTGTAAGCTAATTGTTACACAGTCAAATTTTATATGTGTTGACAACAACGTTTTGCCTGTATGCAATCAAGATTGAATGCCCTCTTAGATTTAAATCTGTTTAACATAATGAGTATAAGTTACTTGAAACAAATAAAAAAGTTAATCAAATAGCACTAAGTTAACTTTGTGCTTACAATTAATCGCCTCTAAGAGTGGATCTGGACAGTTCGTTAGATGTTTGATCAGTAAATACGACTATATAAGTTTCGATAGCGCTTTTACGGAAGCCCCTATACACCACCTATGACGTATGTTGCGCATGCACACTACCTGTAGGTCTCGCATGCAGCGTGACTGCATGCACAAGTTGCAAATATTTAATAAATATTGGCTTTTTAGTGATAATTTATTGATCCAAAGTATTGATTAACGTTATTAATTGAAAATGAAAACAATACTGGTATCAACTTTCCGAAATCTGACAGTTTTTAAAAAATTTCGATCTTGTAAGATAGAGGTTAAATTGAATCATCAGCATAAACAATGGACCAAGCTCCCCAAGTACAAAAACTTTTTGTATACAACAGTTTTAGAGTTAAATTAAACCTATCTAAGTCAATTTCGTTGTAATACATTACCATTATTAAGGTATTAAGTATAATGTACATATAAATGTTAGTGTAAATATTTTCTTTTTAAGCTATTAATTTTCAAAAA